CTGATGAACAGCAGTCGATCTGCGCACGCAAGGAGGTGCTATTCCTATTCTTCTTCTGGAAAAACGAAAGAGAGCTTCAAAACAGACTGCAGCGCCATCTGAAGCAAAGAGCATACTTCCTGCGGACACTTTTTAGGCTGAGTGACCCATCTTGTCTTGTACTATCTTTGTCTGTAGTAAAATCAGAATCCCGACCTCAAACTCAAACATGTTTAGCTGATTGAGTGTTCACCAAAACGTGTTCAAGACCTCTCTATCAGGTTGGGTGTCGGAGGGGGCACATTGCAATGTTTAGCTGAAAATAGTGCGTTTAGTTTTTCTCAGAAGAACCAGAATATAAGTAAAATATACAAGCGGCATTGTGTATAATGTGTATGCCCAATGCAATTTAGTCGCGCTCAAAGAGAAAATTAAAATGGAGATTTTCATGACAGAGAAAGGACGGGAAAATGTACACAATGAAATTAAATAACAGTTTTGATAAATGGTTAACTGAAGAGGTCTACTGCTTAAACTTATACTTATAGAATTTAAAGTCGTTACAATGTCGAATACCCGCGCAACCTATGACTTATATGAAATACTCATCGAAAATACCTGCGCAATTTTCCAACAGGTTTTTTGGAAAACTTATTTGAACTTTTTGACAATAATAATTAAAAACCTGCCCAATTTTCCGCTGTCAAGTTCTACAAATCTGTTCCATCATCACAGATGTTAAAACCTTGCTTACCATCATGGGTCAGAGCATTGATGATGTCGAGAACTGGATGATTGATAATAAGCTCCAGCCTAATGAAAATGTTTGTACTGAAAATGAAAAACTGTATTTTACTGATAAGGCCAAAAAAATCTGGTAGTATTTTGATTAAAAATTGTCATTGGAACATAATATCAATTATTTATGTAGACCTAGGCCTACAATTTTATTTTATGAATAGCGTAGAATTGGTCATTTACGTTTTTGAATGAACACTTCCTGAAATCGCTCGTGTCACCCTTCTTGTTTTCACATATCGATTATTGCAATGTTTAACTCTACTAGCTAACATACCAAATACCACTCTTCAAAAGTTACACCGTTTTCAAACTCATCTGTTAGGCTTGTACTAAAGAAAAAGAAGAGGCATCACATCACTCCCATGTTAAAAACGTTGCAATGGCCCCCCTTGTCAGTTTGAAAGTCATATAACATTGCAATATTATGTCATAAATGTGTCAATAACAAAGCTTTCTCATATCTTAGTGATCTAACCCAGATTCACGTTCCATCTAGATCACTAAAATCAGGTGATCAGTATCTTTTAAGAGTTCTCAGAAAAGGAGTTTAAAAAATTATTAGCTAAAAGATCGTTTGCCCACCTTGCTCCCTCTGTTTGGAACTCTCTTCCCCAACCCTTGAGACATACAACATCTGAGTCTAAATTTAAACTATCTTTAAGGACACATTTAACGACATAATTTGTATGCCAGTAGATTCAGGTTCAGTACAATATTGTGTAAATGACTATGTATCCATTTATGTGTTTTGTGAATTGCATTGTGTAGATCTATATGATTTTATTTTACGTATTTTTTGTATGTGCTCATTTCGTAACAATGTGTAAGCGTGCACGTGTGATAAGCAGGTAGATATGTGCGTGTGTGCTTGTGTGTGTGTATTTGGCGTGCATGTGTGTGCACATGTGTGCTCGTAATATGTGCGTGTGTGTGTGTGTGTGTGAGTGCAGGGGCGAAGGCTGACTTGTTTGACAGGGTAATCAAAGTGAAACGGGACCAGATATGGCCTGGAGATATCAC